TTAGTTACTTATCTATGCGTAAATATTGACAAGTTCTACGTTTAGATGAAAAATGCTAAATCTTTTTTCATGCCATTACCTTCCAATGGCAACCCCAGTTGCCATTTTATGTCCTACAGTTTCTTGTTTAATCGATTCGTGCGAAGATTTTTAAACTCATTTTATTTAATAGCAGCAACTTTTGTCAATATTTATTGCGTAGGATATTATTAAGATAAGTATTTCTTGTAGGTAAAAAAAAAATCTTTAAACAGAATTCATTATTCTGAAAAATCTCCTAATCGTCTCTTTTATAAGTTGTATATTTTAGAGAGAATAGGGATACAAAAAGCTTTTTTTTATCAATCTGTAGTTTGGCGGATTTCTTACACACCGTGTGTGAAGAGTTCTTTGGTGCCCCACATTTTGCATTTTCTGCAAATTTTCTAAAACTGGTAATTTCAGTTGAGAATGTGGCGGGCAAAGGATTAAGAACGAAAAGCAAATATTTGTCAGTATAGTTTGATGCATACAAAATATATCACTTCAAAATGAATAAAATCCTCCTTTCCTCTTCTTTTATTATTTTTCTTTTCACTATATATACATATATGTCAGTAGATTTGAAGTGAAGAAGGAACCATTCGATTTCACTTTCTTTTTCGTATCCCTTATTTTAACGCACCACCACAAAAAACGACAAGCATCTGAAAAAATGTCAATGATAAAATTTTCACTACAATGCGTATTCTTGATTCAATTTTCTATGCAACCAACAACATGTACCTTACCAACCATTGTACAAAGTTTCGAAGTTGCTGATGTCACATCACTATGGAACAAATTTCCATCTATTATCAACAAGCTTGAAGAAACTGGTACGTTTTTCGAATATAATAAGATGAAGGATATTCAGCAAGGAAATATTTTCTTTTTTCAACGAAAAACTTATAAAAATTATCTAAATCGTAAAATTTTACCTTCTTACTTGAATAAATAGTAGATTGTATCAATTGGAGTAATATCAATAAAATTTTATTTTTTCATAAGAGCAACGAGTTAACAATTCATTTTTTGATAATTGAAAGGTTTTATTGAAGTGGAAAATTGAGCATAATTGCTTGTTCTTGATACAATTAGGATAAGGATTCAAGTGTCCTGTAGATCCCACGATATATATTTACTTCAAACAATCAACATTACTTAGAGAATATAGACTTTTGACGTAAAACTAAGTTCACATAGAAAACTTAATTATGTCAAATATCAACCGGTGCTCATAAAATATAATGTTCTTGCTTGTAACATTGTTTCTTCTTGAAAACTTTCAGGCAATGTTTTGTTTTCGTAGTAGGCAGCAACAAAATGACAATACCCAATTTCGAAATTATAATACTTTGGAAATTGATGTTGCATATTTATGTTTTAAATATTGTACTGGATTCGGAGTACATTGCCACTAGTGATATATCATAGAAAGTTTTGAATACTTTGTAAAGTAGACACGAACATCTTGAACTCGATACATGTATTAGTGTACCATTGCTTATAATATATCTTTTTGTTTCGAACTCTCTATATAGAAGATAAAGACTATCAAATTGTAGAATATAATTCTTTTCCGATATGATTTCTCGAATTTTTTAAATGAATGTTTTAGATTTAGAAAAAAAACGATTTTTTTATTAGACAAGACAAACAAATCGATGAGATTCTTTTGCATAGAAATCACTGAAAACATGACTTAGAGTTTTGACTGAAATCTATATCACTGTTGAATGATTAAATTTAAACTACAGATATATTTTTTTCTGTTTCAAGCTGTGAATCCTGCAGTTCTGAGCTCTTTGAATCAAGCGTTATCGGGGAGAAATTCTGAAATGATAAAATATTTTTGAATTAGGCCTTGTCTCATTTGATAGAATCTACTGACATTAGATAAAGACTAAAATTATTTGCTTCCATGGATCTTCCTTCTTGAGTTATGGTAATTTTACTAATTATTTTCGAGCCACCTTCATAATTAACTTTCGAGTTGCTAGTATCAAAGTCTTGCAAATATTCGTCCAATATGAGTGTTTGAAATTTTCAAGCATCCTCTATCCAAAGATACGATTATAGAAAATTCTGCTAATTGAAGCAGTAAATTTTCTTCTTATGTTTATATTTCTGGACAGAAAATTTCAAACATTAACAATGAACTAGCTTCTGTGAGATCTTGCTTTTTTTGTAAAGTTTGAACTAGAAACTCGAAAGTTGATTTTCAAGATGATTGGAAGGAGATCATGACATTTTGTCGAAAATATTTATTAATATGACAATAATTCGAAAAGAAAGATGCATAGATATGAATCATTAAAGGCTTCTTCTCGTCTCGATACGTCCTATCTAATGAGATACGACTCAATTCAAAATTAATTTATTATCTATCAAGATTATTCTGCTAGTTGAAGATTGATCAAATACCTTAAAAATTAGACAATATTTTTATTATTGAATTTTATAGAGAACAGTTTCTTACAGTTTTTTTTTCATAAGGAACTAAAATACCTTCATCATTGCTTTTGTATTAATCGAAGTAACTATATTTTTTAGTTAGTCGATTTCGTTGTCCAAAAGGATGGAAACGTGTAGGTGCTTCATGTTATTATCTCTCCAATGTATCATCAACATCTGTTACTGCTAACAATACGTGTAATCTTCATTCTAATTATTCAAATCTTATTCAAATACAAAATGTAGTTGAACTATTCTATGTTGCTCATGTTTTGTCAAGAAATAAATTGTCATCAATAATGGTTTCTATAGATCCGAAATTATTTAAAGGTGAGAAACATATTTTCATCAAAATGATTTTAAAAACAAAATTAAAAATGAAAATTGTTTTTGTTTTTTTCTAGAAAAAAATCTCGTAGAACTATTAAAAACTGATCAAAATCGATGGAAACAAATGAAACAAGAAATGAATCAAGCACGTATTAAATATCAGAATTTAACAACAAGAATTATTCGTCGATTAAATTCAGTTGGTTTACATATGATGAGACGTACAAGAAAAATAAAACAAGATGAATCAAATGAAACAATATTAAATGTTAGTTTAGTTGTTCATAATAATAATGAATATGAATATGATGATCTTGATTCAACAGATGAAAATGATGAATTTGAAAAAATCGAAGATATTCATAGTATTTGTCACGAAATTGATTGGAATGCTTTAAATGATAATTCAACTGCATATATTTTAACAAGATACAGTTTATCAACTAAAAATATTTGTTCATTGAATAATATTGAATCTAATATTCATTATGATCATATTTGTGAATATGATTTGTAGTTTATATATATATTTCAAATATAAATCTATTTTCTTTCTCTTTTATATAGTACTTGACTTTTGTTTTATGAATGTTATTTGTGGTAAATATGGACATTGTGTTAATACATTAACAGGTTTCAAATGTTCATGTTCATTTTTGTATGGTGGTCTTCTTTGTGATAGAAGTATGTAACAGTTTTTCATTAATAAATAGTTAAACATGCAGCTAAAAATAAAATATTCATAATTTGAAAGTATTTTACTTCGTTATATTTAATAATCTATAAAAAGTCTAATATTGATTAGTTTGTTAATGAAAGATCATATCAAGATTCAGACAAACAAGAAAATTTACAAGTTTCGGATTCCAAAATTTTAGGCCATGATGAAAGGAAAAGCTGTTCTTCAAGATGTCAAATTTGTTTTTTCAAAAAGGATTTTATAGATGGGAATATGATATGATGAATCCTTTGACTAGATAATTATATCATACAGAGCAAAATTTCTAAAAACATATTCACACCCTAATTTTCAATGAATTTGTTGAGATGAAAAATAGCAGATGGAGTGTTTTTCAAAATTCTTATTTTTAATTATTAATAGTATAGCATTCATTTTAGTCGTTGTATTGAATGAAAAAAATTGTTTGATATTTGCCTGACTACTGAATTCAAAATCAGAAATGATATGCAATAGAAAGGGACATGGTTTTTCATATTAAACTGATTGAACTATTCTTTTTTTTAGTTTCACAACAAGGTCAACAAATCCTTATTAGTTTTGGGTTGATTATAATCCTCTTGATAATACCACGCATATCAATTCAACGCTTATTAAGGTATTTTGTTAATTTCAAGAATTATCTGACTAAATGCAAAGTAAATTTCATTGTAATCAAGAATAACAAACGATACTTACTGAAATGTTGGCATCTTTTCATAATCATCGAATAACATTTACGGCAGGATTTAAATTATATATACGCTGTTGGATATAAATGAATTTGATCAGATTGAGATATAAATATGTGATATACATATCTTAGCCAAAAATATTGACTTCATAATACTTAGTAAACATATTTTGTCAATGCTTAGAACGAAATTAAGTTGAATTATTCAAAAATTTTGATCTTTATGAGAATGAAATTTTCGAATTTTTACCATTAATTTAGTTTCTTATGTCTATAACAAAAAAACCTAACTTTAGTNAAAATTTCGAATCTTGTTTTCATGTCATTACCTTCCAATGGCAACCATATATGTCAAACTTGAAACTTGAATTCAATTGAAGTTTCAACTTTCAACTTTCTAGCCTCAAATGAGCAGCACTTTGTAGAATCACCACTATCCCGCATTCTCACACACACATCATCGCAGCTGGTGAGGGTGCGGCGAAAGGACTGATCAGAAAAGGACTGGCCACGAAACGACACACAACACATCGCACCTGGTGAGGGTGCTGCGAAAGGATTGGCCAGAAAAGGACTCATCACGAGACGACACACATCACATCGCACCTGGTGAGGGTGCTGCGAAAGGATTGGCCAGAAAAGGACTGATCACGAGACGACCCATATCACATCGCAGCTGGTGAGGGTGCCGCGAAAGGACTGCCCAGAAAAGGACCCGTCGCGAAACGACTTGAAAGTTGAAGCTTGAAAGTTGGAAGTTGAAACTTGAAACTTGAAACTTGAAACTTGAAAGTTGCAACTTGAAACTTGAAAGTTGAAACTTGAAATTTGAAATTTCAGTTGAAAGTTGAAATTTCAATTGAATTCAAGTTTCAAGTTCGACACTACTGATGGCAACCCCAGTCGCCATTTTATGTCGTACAGTTTCTTGTTTAATCGATTCGTGCGAAAATTTTTAAACCCATTTTATTCAACAGCAGCTACTTTTGTCAATATTTATTGCGTAGGTAGCTTAGTGGATTCCCTACACATCATGTGTAAAGAGTTCTTTGGTATCCCACATTCTGCATTTTCTGCAATTTTTCTAAAACTGGTAATTTCAGTTGCCAATGCGGGGGGGGGGGGCAAAAGTGTTAAGAACGAAAAGCAAGTATTTGTCAGTATACTTTGCTGCATACAAAATATATCACTTCAAAATGAATTAAATCCTTCTTTCCTCTTCTTTTACTATTCTTTTTTTTTCACTATGCATACATATACATCAGTCAATTTGAAGTGAAGAAAGAGCTATTCGATTTCAATTTCAATTTCGCATCTCTTATCTTAACACACTACCACAAAAAACGACAAGCATATGAAAAAATGTCAATGATCATTTTTTCACTACTATGTGTATTCTTGATTCAATTTTCGATACAACCAACAGCATGTATCTTACCAACCAATGTACAAAGTTTCGAACTTGCTGATATCACATCACTATGGAACAAATTTCCATCTATTATCAACAAGCTTGAGGAAACTGGTACGTTTTTCGAATATAATAAGATGAAGGATATTCAGCAAGGGAATATTTTCTTTTTTCAGCGAAAAACTAATAAAAATTATCTAAATCGTAAAATTTTACCTTCGTATTTGAATAAATAATACTTTGTATCAATTGGATTAATATCAATAAAATTTTATTTATTCATAAGAACAATGTGTTAAAAATTTATTTTTTGACAATTGAAATGTTTTATTGAAGTGGAAAACTAAACATAATTGCTTGTTCTTGATATAATTAGAATAAGGCGTCAAGTGTCCTTTAGATCACACGATATATATTTACTTCAAACAATTAACATTGCTAAGAGAATATAGACTTTTGACGTAAAACTAAGTTCACATAGAAAACCTAATTATGTCAAATATCAACCAGTGCTTATAAAATACAATGTTCTTGCGTGTAACATACTCCCTCGGACAAAAAAAAACGCCCTTTTTCCATTTCATTTTTGCATCACTTAATAAGTTGTTTTAGAAAAACAAAATATACCAGGAGTTGCAGCGTGAAAAGCCCTATAAAC